AGGAAGGAAGGAAGGAAGGAAGGAAGGAAGGAAGGAAGGAAGGAAGGCATTAGACTAACCTAAAACAACCTGAAATAATTCTTCAAAGGAAACAATATACTTTATCCAATGTAGTCTGAAAGCCTAAAGTAAGGATTTGAGAGGCATGAGAATTGACTTTAAAAAGATTGCTAAGACCCAGTTTAGTATTCAGCCCCTAATAGTCTTCCTAGGGATATGTTTTAAGTGACATTAATTTCAAGGGTTTAGGACTATACTCAAAAAAATCCTGCTTCCCCTTAGTAACTGTTTAAGGATTTTAACCATATTAGCTAAACTCTTTTATACTCTTAGAATGATCAGGTCCCTAAATTTACTATTTATTATTCAAGTTATATTACCTTCTTAATCTGTCTCTTTTTCATCAAGTTGCCTTTAACTACTAATGTGTGTGGATGGGTGTATGTATGTATGATAACCATGGTGAAGTTAAAGGGAAGAGAGCTGTAGGAAGATGTGTTGATCTGCACGTTTGTATGTAGCAAGTCCTCGACTAATGTGGTTTTTGTTCAAGGTCATTTTGTTATAATATTGATGAGATGCTATAGGAACTTAACTGTTGTTTATAAACGTCAATTACTCTGTGGTAAAATTGATTTGATCATAGGTCATTTCCCTTAAAGTTACAGAACCTATCGATGATGTTAAATGGGAACTTACTGCATATAGGTATATGTAGATCTCTAAATATTCACATATGCTTTGACTTAGGGACAGTGAATGATAAATGTGCAGTGGATTAAAGGGAAAATTGTATATTCCCACATGTATCCCAGTAATCTCACAGGTATAATGTAGACTACAGAAGTTTGGAAAATACTGGCCTTGACTGCATTGGGTACATTGCAACATTGTATTATTTTCCTTGCTCATGCCTCTGTTAAGATTCACCTAATCATAGACTAAATTTGAGACAAGTATCCTCAAGAAAAATCTCTGTTGGGTGGTATAGGTTTGTCAGTGTCCTTACCCTGGCTGAACAAATGAAAAAACAGTGTAATTGACTTACATGTAGTTTACTTGTTTAATTTTTATATTGTCTGAAAATGGTCAGTGACCTTTTTTCCTCTGGAAAGAATAGATACATATTTGGTGGGGAGCAGGGAGTGAGGGAGGCTTCATCACATCATATCGCATGACATAGGTGGTCTCCAAATGTGATCTTGAAGAGTGAGATTGTGAAGGAGTTAAATAGTTTTAAGAAGAAAAAAAATCATGATATTCTGAAGTGAGCAGAGGACAGTTATGGCTTAAGTGAAGCAGCTGTGTGGAAACTGTAGAGAGGGCTTCAAAGCAGTAACAGCACAGAGGTCCTGACAGAGAGCCTTGGGGTGCTTGAACCCAAGGTCAAAGAGGGAAGTTCAGCCTTGGATTATGGAGAAAGTAATATTAAACTCAAAGAATCCGGACTGACCACCAAGGAGAGGCTTGCAGATTAGAGTGAGTGGAAGGTGGGAGGGTCTGGAAGAAAGCCTTAAAGTAAGGTTAATCCGAAGAACGAAGGACTTGAGAATGCAATGTTTACCTGAAATTCAGCAGATATTTTATACCGCTAAGATTTCCTCCCAACTATAGCTATGCATTGTAATTCTGTGTGTGATAAGCCCGTAAGAGTGAGGGCGGGGGTGCTACATAGGCATGAAAAGGAAATGTGTTTGATCCTCTAGAGATGGTCTGTGAAGCAACAATCTTTCCTACTCATAGGTATATTTGCAGAAAGTTACCCAAGGCAGCAGTCGTCCAATTCAGCAAGGATAGTCTACTTTAACCTTACTCTCCTACTTCTGTGTGCGTGCGAACACACACGCACATTATTGCAGCTAGGTAATATTTCTTAAAAGTTAATTGCATTACTTTGAGATTCTTACTAAACAATTCATATGTAGACTGTAATTTTCAATCTCTCTTTTCCTGGTTTGGTTAGTTTAAAATTATTAGACCCTGGAGAAATTCCTGTGAGTTTCACTTTCTCTTTCTTATCTAAAATCTACTTTCACATTGGTACTATTAGAGCTCTTATTTTCTGATACGTAAATGCCTACCTTTGCTGCATGTATCATAATGGAAGCTTTATAATATGAAAGAAAATAGTCTTTTCTACATTTCAAAGCATACAATTTGAAAGAAATATTGAACAGTTGATTGATTTATTATAGCTTTAAAAAATAGTTAGGAGCCCTAGTATAAATTACCTATGTTTAAAAATATTCAGGTTCACTATAGCTAGTTCTAATGGTATCTTTTTATCTTTTTTATAATATTATAAATAAATAAATCCTTTTTCTTTTTTTTTTTTTAGAAAACTGGTGACTTATTTGCTATCAAAGTATTTAATAACATAAGCTTCCTTCGTCCAGTAGATGTTCAAATGAGAGAATTTGAAGTGTTAAAAAAGCTCAATCACAAAAATATTGTCAAATTATTTGCTATTGAAGAGGAGGTAAGTAGTCAAGTTTTAATTAATCTTGTCATGTTTGTTGTAGTTATTATAATTTAGAAGAAATAACCTAACAATGTTTTATAAACATGGTATTTTTAAAATGATGAAAATTCTATTCTCAAAGATTCTTAAATAGCCCAGCCATAGTGGCTCAGTTGGCTGAGCATCGTCCTGTGTACCGAAAGGTCGCTGGTTCAGTTCCCAGTTAGGGCACATACCTGGGTTGCAGGTTTGATCCCTAGTTGGGGCATGTACGGAAGGCAGACGATTGATGTTTCTCTCTCACATCGATGTCTGTCTGTCTGTCTGTCTCTCTCTCTGCCTCTCTCTCTGTCCCTCCCTTCCTCATCCCTCCATCTCTTCCTCTCTCTAAGCATGTCCTTGGGTGAGGATTTTAAAAATTAATTTTTAAAAAATATTAATAATTTAAAAAAGAAAGATTCTTGAATAGCTGTAACAATGGAAGCGAAGTATTATGGAATCAGAAAAAGTAGTGTAAAAAGTAAAAGAGTATAGAATATGGTTATCAGTATTATTACTGGGGGGGAAGAAAACTAAATTAAGTTAAATTGACATAATTCTAAAAGGAGAAAGTCAAACAATAGAAAGGCGGCTTTGTAAAAGAAGAAAAATCTTAAGAATCCAGGGATTAATAATGTGAAGCTCATTTATAAAAGGTAGAATTGATTTTAAGGGGAAAGAGTTAAAATAAGAATTTATTAGGATAATTATCTAGAAATAATAGAAATAGAAATCTGTTTTAATCCCTTTAGACATGGGTAATCAATAAAATCACACCTTTTGAAAACAGTTTATAGGTTTATCTTCCTTATAATAGTCATTTTATTTTTAGTGATTACTTCTTAAAAAGTAATTAGAATTGTAAATTATATTTTTATGCACAAAGATGTTCATTGCTGCCCTGTTTATAATAAAAAATGGTTAAATAGGTTAGAATGTGTGATGGATAGTTGCCCGGAGTTAGCTACACTCAAGGTTAAGAGCATAGTCCTCCAGACTACCAACTCTGTTCAAGACTTCTGACACCAGTGGCAGAGGAGTTTGGCAAACTGCATAGTCAGTAAGAACAGTGCCTACACGACTGTGCTCTTTCATACACGAAGTGCTAGTTCAGGAGTCCCCAGGATGACCTTTCACTTCAGACCAGCTGCCTACAAATTTGGGGCTTCCCATGGCTGTCCTCAGATTTGATAATTTGCTAGTGTTGAATGACTCACAGAACTCAGGAAAGCACTGTACTTACAATTAAAGTTTTATTATAGCAAAAGAATACAAATTAGAACTAGCCAAAGTAAGAGACCCATAGAGTGGAATATTGGAGGGCTTCAAACATGACTCTTCCTTGTCCACAGGAACACATTACTCTCCTGGAATTAATAGTATGCACAGAATATTGCCAACCTTGGAAGCTCACCTGAGCCTTTGGCGTCCATAGTTTTTATTGGGGTTCGATTACATTGTGCCTGCATGGCTGACCTTTACTCTCCAGCTCTTCCCAGAGATTCAAGCTAATACCTTGAGTCTGCATTTCCTCTGGAAGTTGGAGTGGATATGCATGACCTAAAACCCCCACCATAAATCACATTGTTAGACTGTTACTGGCCAAAGCTCCTAGACAAACCAAGAAAACTTATAGCAGACAGGAGGTTACAGAGGCCTAGTAGGTAGCCAAGGGCAAAGGCCAGGCATCTTTTGGGTACAATTCTTCACTACACAGTAGTTAAGCAGTAACGGAAAAAAAATATGTTTACCAAAATTTTAATCACCTGTGAACATGCTTATGTTTATTGTTATGTTAGAAAATCAGGACTAAAATACATATATAGTATGATCTTGTTATATATAGCGTGATATACAAATAATGTTAGCTGTCTATAATGTGACTTGATACATAGATAAAAGACTGAAAGAAAAGAAAATATTAACATAATTATCTCTGGGTAATGGAATTGTGGATCTTTCCCAAATTTTCAACAGTCAACACATATTATTTAAAAACAAGTTTTTTCTTTTAAAATTATTTCTCTCTTGATACAGAGAATATTTTGACAGTTGCCAGATAAGAAGTGGAGTTAGGGGAATGGCTGAAAAAGATGAAGGGATTAAGAAGTACAAATTGGTAGTTACGCAATAGTCATGGGAATGTAAAGTACAGCATAGGGAATATAGTCAATAATGTTGTAATAACTATGATGTCAGGTGGGTACTAGATTTATCGGGGTGATCACTTTGTAAGTCATATAAATGCCTAAAAAATCACTGAATTGTATACCTGAAACTAAGATGTATTGTATGTCAACTAATAATTGAAAAATAAATTATTCAAAAATAAATTATTTCTCTCATAAACTACTCAGTAGTAGAGAAATTAAAAATATTTTATAAAAGTATTTTAGAAATATGTAGAAAAAATTACAAAAGAAGAAAAATCTAAAAAGTTGAAGATAAATAAATTTTAAGACTCATTTTCACATTTTCAAGTTTCTGAAATGGTATTTATCTTATCAATGTATATATGTACTTAGGTAGTATTTCTTTTTCCTATAAAGCTGTTATTAAATTGATGTATCATAATCAATGGTACACAAATGAGCAGACTAAAACTGTGCTGTAAAAGGGACTGCTCAGCTATTCTGCCACCTGTTTGTTTTTAAGGTTAGAACTTTATTCCATGAAGTAAAAGTATTCTTCATGAGAAAACTCCAAGTGTTTTAAGAGATTTGTAAGATAAATGTACTATTATGCATTAGAAATTAAAGATAATTTTTAAAGAACCATTCTAACATTGTAGTGATGATTTTCTAATTCAGATTTAGCTGGCTTTCACTCTGGCTTGATTGTCTTCAAAAACATATTAAATTTTAATAGGAATTTGGAAGATGTTAATTCTTATATATGTACAGTAAAAAAATCCCATGTAAAGCACTTCAAAGTTGTAGCAAATCCCACATTTAAATGAAATCAGATAAGTCCTGTCATATAATAAAAACTTAATTTTTATATTGAGTCTCAATCAATGATTTATTTTTTGCAGACAACAACAAGACATAAAGTACTTATTATGGAATTTTGTCCATGCGGGAGTTTATACACTGTTTTAGAAGAGCCATCTAATGCCTATGGACTACCAGAGTCTGAATTTTTAATTGTTTTGCGAGATGTGGGTATGTTTGTTTATTTATATCATTTTGTGCATATTTGTATATATAATTTAATGACATAAGAAATTTTTTGCATTCAAAACCATAGATCTTTATGCCATGCTTTTTTAGATATGACACCAAAAGCACAGTACAAAAAGAAAAATATATATGTAAATAGGACTTTATCAACATAAAAAAACTTTTGTGTTTCAAAGGACAGCATCAAGTAAGCGAAAAACACAGTCCATAGAATGAGAGCAAATATTTGCAAATGTTATACCTGATAAGGAATTTTTATCCTGACAACAATAAAAAGTGAAATAATCCAATTTAAAAATGGGCAAAGGATTTGATAGACATTTTTCCACAGATGATATACAAAAAGCAAACAAGGACATAAAAAAATGCTCAAGATCATTAGTCATTAGGGAAATAAAAATCAAAACCCTCCAAATTACCACTTCATATCCACTAAGATGGCTAAAATTGAAAAGACAACACAAAACAAGTGCTGGTGAGGATGTGGAGAAATTGCGACCCTCATATACTGCTGGTGGGATTGTAAAATGGTACACCCACTTGGGAAAACAGTCCAGCAATTTCTCAAAAGGTTGAACAAAGAATTACTATATGACTTAACAATTCCTTTTCTAGGTACTTATCTAAAAGAATTAAAACTATGTCTGCACAAAACTTGTACACCAATATTCATAATAGCCAAAAAAATGGAAACAGCCCAACTGTGCACCAGTTGATGAATAGATAAACAAAATGTGGTATATCCATGCAATGGAATATTATTTGTTTATTAAAAGAAATGCAGCCCTGGGCAGTGTGGCTCAGTTGGTTGAAGCATCACCCCATAAGCCAAAAGGTGGGTTTGATTCCCAGTCGGGGCACATGCAGGAGGCAGTCAATTGTTTATCTATCTATCTCCCTCCTTCCCTCCCTCTTTCCCCCCTTCCACTCTCTGAAATCAGTTTTAAAAAAGAAAGAAATTCAGTAGTGATACATGCTTTAATATGATGCACCTTGAAAGTTATGATAGGTGAAAGAAGCCAGGCACAGAAGACCACAATATTTATATGATTTTACTTATATGAAATGTCCAGAATAGGCAAATCCATAGAAACAGAAAGCAGATTAGTGGTTGTCAGGGGTTTGAGGGGAGTGCAGAGTTGAGGAGTGACTGCTAATGGTTTTGGTATTTCTTTTTGGCATAATGAAAATGTTCTGAAATTAGTGGTGATGGTTGTACATGCTGTGACTGGCTGTATTAAAGCCACTGAATTTCATACTTTAAAAGGATGAATTTTATGATTTGTGAATTTTATCTCACTAAAGCTGTTATTAAAAAAAGAATACGACAACCAAAAGGAATAATATCTTCTTGAAAAGAAATGAATCAATATTTGAGGAATGGGAAAAGCCTAGTGATAAAAAAAGGTATAAGGTTAGTGGGAATTCTTTGTTATGTTTTGTTTTTTAATTGATCTTAGAGGAAGGTGCAGGAGAGAGAGAGAGAGAAACATTGATGTGAGAGAGAAACGTGGATTGGTTGCCTCACGAATGAACCTTGACTGGGTATTGAACCCACAATAAGCTGTGTGTCTTAACCGGGAATCAAACCTGCCACCTTTTGGTTTATGGAACGATGCTCCAACCAACTGAGCCACACCGGCCAGGGCTAGTGGGAATTCTTGAACTTGACACTGAAAGCAGTGTGAAGATGACCGCTTAGGTGAAGATAAAATGAGAGAGAAACAATTAATATATGCTACAGCCTGTCCAAGCAAATAGAAGTTATAGATCATCGATGCTTTCCTAAGTATACTGGTAGCCCTGAATTTTCATAATTAAATATTGATACCCCAAACTTATTTTCATATGTTATAGTTGGACATTATCTATCAGCTGTCAAATATTTCAAACTATCACTCAGTGACACTGCTTGTCAGCCAAAACGGCTTAATTTCAGCAGTGTAGCCACCTTTGCCCTTTAAAAAAAAAAGGGGGGGGGGAAATAGAGCCTTCTTAGAAAAGTGTGTGAGAAATATATTTTTATGGCTACAAGTGTGACACTTTCTATTACTTTTTTACTGTTTTGTGTAGTGAGTCCAGTGTACTTTTTTGTGGAATTATTTCCCCAAGGTAAAGAAATGTGAAACTGTAGTGAAAGATTAATATCTTTTTTGGGACTCTTTATTCTTTTTGTTTGTTTTATTTTTTAATTTATTGGGGTAACTAGTTAGTAACATTAAATAAGTTTCAGGTATACATTTCTGTAGAACATTGTTTGTGTATTGTTTGTGTGCTCAGCACTCAGTCTAGTCTCCTTTCGTCACCATGTATTTGACCCTTTTCGCCCTCTTCCTCCTCCCCTTTGGTAACCTTCCTTTCCCTTTGATAACCACCCTTCTGTTATCTGTGTCTGAGTTTGTTTGTTTGTTCATTGCTTTCTGCTTTCTATCCCACATATGAGTGAAATCATATGGTTCTTGTCCTTTTCCACCTGACTTATTTCATTTATTATGGTACTCTCAAGATCCCTCCATGTTGTCACAAGTGGCAATATTTCATCATTTTTTATGGCTGAGTAATATTCCATTTTATATATGTACCACTGCTTCTTATCCAGTCATCCATTGAAGGACAGTTAGGTTGTTTCCATGTCTTGGCTATGGAAAATAATGCTGCAATGAACGTAGGAGTACATGTACCTTTATGAATAAGTATTTTCAAAACTTGAGGCTAGATACCCAGAAGTGGGTTTGCTGGATCATATGGTAGCTCTATTCTTAATTTTTTGAGGAACCTTTATACTGTTTCACAGTGGCTATCCTAATTTACATTCCCATGAGCAGTGTGTGAAGGTTCCCTTTTCTCCACATCCTTTCCATCACTTATTTCTTGTTTTACTGATAGTAGCCATTATAATAGGTGTGAGATGGCATCTCATTGTGGTTTTGATTTGCATTTACCTTATAGCTAGTGAAGTTAAGCATCTTTTCATATATCTGTTGGCCATCTGTACATCGTCTTGGGAAAAGTGTCTGTTCAGGTCTCTCCTCCCTCTTCCCTTTTTTTAAATCCTCACCCAAGGATATGTTTTTATTGATTATAGAGAGAAAGGAAGGGAGAGAAAGAGAGAGTAACATTGATATGAGAGAGAAATATCCATTGGTTGCCTCCTTTGTGTTCCCAGACCAGGGACTGAACCGGAAACCTAGGTATGTGCCCTAACCAGGAATCAAACCCACAACCCTTTTGGTGTATGGGACGATGCTCTAACCAACTGAGCCACCTGGCCAGGGCCTTCTGCCCATTTTTAATCGGATTGTTTTTTGGTTGCTGAGTTGTATGAGTTCTTTATATATTTTGGATTTTTAGCCCCTTGTTGGAGGTATCGTTTACAAATATCTTCTTCCATTCTGTTGGTTGCCTTTGTCGGTGGTTTCTTTTGCCATGCAGGAAATCTTTATTCTTAAGTTTAGGCAGATTGCCCACAGGTATATAACCAAAAGTAATTCAGGAAATCATATACTTAAGATCATTTTTTTCTATTTTCTTGTTAGTACTTAAGGGAGATTGGACTCTTTCTTAAACCAAATTGATCCTTATCATTCTAAAGCTTTTTATGACTCAAACATGAGAAAAAAATATTAATACCATCTATCCTTTGATTAAAATGACTTGGGGCTAATTTATGGAAAAACACTGAGTGAATATGAATGAATTATATCAATGAATTTGACACACACAGGTAGATATACACATAGATATCTACGTTATTATTAACCTTTGTTTTATATTTATTGTTGAAGTGGGTGGAATGAATCATCTCCGAGAGAACGGCATAGTGCACCGTGATATCAAGCCGGGAAATATCATGCGTGTTATAGGGGAAGATGGACAGTCTGTGTACAAACTCACCGATTTTGGTGCAGCTAGAGAACTGGAAGATGATGAGCAGTTTGTTTCTTTGTATGGCACAGAAGAATATTTGGTAAGTCATGCATTACTATTATGTTATTTAAAGAAGCTGGATTATATTGTAAATACCAGTAATTGGTCAAACAATTAATTATACAATGTGCTATGTGACTTTTATGACAAAGATTAAATTTTCTGTTCTAATGAATATGGTGTGTAATGAGGGAATTAGATATTTGTTTCTAAGGGTGCTCTCATTTCTCTGTTAAAGCTTCTTATAAGTTTTATAACACTCTTAAATTCTTTAATTTTACTAATGCCATGGATCTGTAGTAAAAGAAAAAGCTATCTGTTCACTCCAGAAGCATCTAGGTGGTAAAGGCTCCCTTTTTTGGATGAGAATAGCTAATAGAGTATAAACTTATTATCATATTCCCTGTAGAACAAAATTCATTATAATTCTGAAGCAGAAGATTCTATTCAGGGAAACTAATTATTGAAAGACAGAGAGGACCATTGTTAGAAGCATGCACAAAAATGAAATGCCTTTGAAAAGATCTAACTTGAAATTGTAGAAAGGTAGAAAAGCTCTGTTTATGTAGATGTATTTGGGTAGAGTTAGTAACCAACCATTTGAACACTTAAGAAAATACTCTTTTTTGTTTTTTGGGTTTTTTTTAGGAAAATTTTAAAAGTAAGTACATTTAACATATGATCAGGAAATTTACAGTGTAGCTATCATTAATTGTTCATGGCTCTGAGTTTTATCTTAAAAGTCTTAGATTCTGTGACTTTTCCAGTTGGATTCTGCTGTTGTAAATTTATAACAAGAACATTCTAAGTCTGGTATGAATTAAGGTATCTTAAGTCATTCTCTTATCAATATATAACCCAAAATTAATCTGTAATTATATTTTGATAACCTTTTAATAAGGCCACCTAACATGGATTACAGTTATCCAGCAGATATTTATGGAATGCCTACTATGTATAAACTGGACACTGTTCTAGGCACTGGAACTTCAGTGCTGAACCAGATGCCCATGATTCCTGCTCTGTAGATCCCGCAGTCTAATGGAGAAAATAAAGTTAATAAATGTGTAAACAAGTAAATAAGATAAATTCAGATATTGAAGTGGTGGGAAGACTATAGGGTAATAAGTTAAAGAGTGATTAGCAGGAGAAAGATAGCTAGGGAAAGCCTCTTTTCAATCCTAAATGAAGTGACACTTAAATGGTAAAAAGAAGCAAGCCAAAGATTTGGGGGAAGAATATTATTATAAGCAGCGGGAACAGCAACTGCAGATGCCTTGAAGCAAGAATGACCCTGGATGTTTGAGAAACAGAAAAGATAGCAGTTTAGCTGGAATTTAGTGAGTGAAGGGGCAGGTGGTAGGAGTTGGAATTGGAGAAGTAAGTAGGGGCCAGCTAGATCACCCAGGCTAGTGGTTTCAACCCTTTGTGCTCACCCCCTTTTCACAGTAAATGTTTTGCAATGTTCTCTTTAATATCTTGAAATAAAATTATGAGATAATATAATCAACCTGCATACCTAATTAAGAGAATACTATGTAATAATAATAATAATATAAAGGAAAATATAATAAAATCACAGGTATTTTTAATGTATAAAAGTTTAGGAACCACTTCAATGGCAAACAAATTATCAGAAGCTTGCACCTATGTGTAACATCACTTCCAAGTGCAGTGATATCTTGCATGTTGTATTAGTGAGTCACACATCACTAGTGGTAGTGGTGTCACTGACATGACTTTACAATTCTTTGTAGTTTCCAACTAAATAAAATAGATTTACAGGTAGCTGCATTCTTGTAGCTACAAAGTACTTTATATATAAGATGGAGTCAGATCATTATAAACAGGCTTCTCAACTACACAAGTATCTGGCAGGATATTCAGAAGTTAATCAGGATGGGAGCAGCTTATTTTTCAGAACTGTCTCATACTTGGCAGGATGTCTGTCATCTTTGGTCTTTGCCCACTAAATACCAGCAGCCCTTCCCAGCTACTGTGATGACCAAATCAAACAGTGGTCCTATACCAGTCTTCATGAGGTTGATCCCCCATTGCCAACTATTAATCTTTCACATTATCATTCTAGGACCACAGTTTAGCTTTTGCCTCTAATAGACTTAAAATGGAAAGAACAAAACATTAAATATATGAACTCCAAGTCCTTACTGTACTCTAGACTCCAATTTTACTCCAATTTTTCTTTCTATTTCAGATTAAGCACAGCCTTGTTTTCACATACAATGCACCAGAAGTTATAAAATGAGATAAATTTAATAGCCTTAAGCTCAGCAATCTAGAAATATTTCCATATTTAAATGAAAACTTTTCTCCTTTTGGAATGCCCAGGCCAAATGTTCAATCTTCTTCTCTATGTGTATTAACATCCAGAGAAAATGCGAACACTTTTTCTTCCGTTTTTAAATGTTTATTTTTTAAAAATATATCCTTATTGATTTCAGAGAGAGGAAAGGAGAGGGAGAGAGAAAGATAGAAACATCAATAATGAAAGAGGCATTGATCGAGCCTGCAACCCTGGCATGTACCCTGACCGGGAATCGAACCCTGATCGCCTGGATCCTAGGTTGACGCTCAACCACTGAGCCACGCCTGGCCAGTCTCTTCCGTTTTAAAAAAAATATGTTTTTATTGATTTTAGGGAGGAAGTGAGAGAGTTAGAGAGAGAGAAACATCAAGAAGAGAGAGATCGGCTGCCTCCTGCACATCCCTTACTGGGAATCAAGCCTACAATCTGGGCATGTGCCCTGACTGAGAATTGAACCAGAGCCCTCTTGGTTCATGGGTTGACACTCAGCAACTGAGCCACACCGACCGGGTTCTTCCACCATCTTTAATATGATGGATATCTTAATTATATCTGGGAACTTTGCAGAAGCTTTATCCTTATACTCCTATTCCAGACGCAGAGGCCCAGGCCCAGTAATACCAAGCCCTGGACAAGCACAAGTAGCATATTCAGGAGCCAACCATTGGGCACATAAATGTCAGACCAGCATGTATCAAGCCACTGTCAGTCACTCCCTAGGGAATACCTTTCAACTATACCAACTTGTTGCACCTTTTGAGGAGGTTCCCTCCCCTCTTTGCTGTATCTCCTTTTCCCAGGTTGGCGGTCCCATGTTTCAGAAAATTATCAGGCATGTCAGGTACTTTGGTCCTAGGCACAGCATCATTTATACACTAAGTACCAGCTGCTAGGTCAAAAGTCTGGCTAGCACTTCTTTGGGCTAGTTTCTTTATGTGCTATGCCACAGAACCAGCAAAACCACTCAGGCTCCATATATCTGGTAGACCTGTTTGGACATTCACTTCAAACTCTTCATGCTTATCACCTCTTCTGATTTCTCATTAAAATATATTTCCCAAAAGAGTCCTACCCACCCACCCCCAAAATAATCCAGGAATCATGACCCTTTGGGAGTCAGATTCATAGATTGCATTGTCTTCTTTTAAATATGTTTTTATTGATTTTAGAGAGAGAGGAAGGGAGAGGGAGAGATAGACACATCAATGACATCCAGCCATTAGTCAGCTGCCCCCTGCATGCCCCTGCTGAGGATGGAGACAAAACCCAGGCATGTGCCCTTACCAGGAATTGAACCAGTGACCTTCTGGTGCATGGGTTAGCACTCAACCACTGAACCACACCGGCCAGGCCTGCATCATCTTTTAGAAGCGCCCTTCCAGCAGTGTTACCTGCATTGATTCCCAGTCCCTTGGAACATATCAAAATATCACAAAGTCATAAGGCATTGTTTTGGTTTGGGATCATTGGGTGATGACTTTACTTTGGTTCATAGTATACTCTTGTAGCCTTACCTCCCAAGAATCTTCCAGTGCATAGCTTCCATAAAGGCAATGGCTGGAGGCTAAGAATGTGTGACCCCTGGTTCTTTGTAGAGCTAAATGTCCATCAGAATCTCTGTCTAGATCTGTAAGAAGATTATCAGGCATATCCAGGTACTTTGGGCCTATGCACAGCAACATTTGTATACTAAGTACCAGCTGCTAGGTCAGAGGTCTAGCTGTGGCAGGAGTCTAAGCATGCGTGACCCCTGGTTCTTTGCAGGGCTAAATATCCATCAGAATTTCTGTCTAGATCTGTAAACTCCTACACATGCCCTGTAACACCCATTTGTTCTCCTCATTGTAATATAGTGTCTTCTCTGCTGAAGAACGTGTGTTTACATCAGACCAGCTACTTGTCTGGGTCACTAGATCCCCGGTAAACCCAGTCAAGCCAGTCCTCTGAATTAATTCTAGAAAATTTAATTTTCGTCTCAGAGCCATATGACTTACTCTGATGGATTGCATGTGAGGGATGAGGGAAAGGAATCAAGTCTGCCTATAGGTTTGGGGTATGAGCAACTGGTGGGACTATTTACTTAGAGGTTAAAGATTTCTAGAAGGAAACAGATTCGAGTGGGAAGACCAAGAATCTATTTTGGATATGTTAGGTTTGAGCTACCTTTCAGATAGTCAAGGAAACAGTGGGATATATGAATCCAGAGCTCAGGGCAGGAGATAATTTTGGCAGTTAAAGAATATAGATAGTATTTAATGTCATAGGTCTGTATGGGCGATGAGGAAATAAGACAGTTATAAGTGTGGACAGCTATTTTGAGTGGAAAGCAGAGAATTGGGTGATAGCTAGAAGTGATAGTGAGGTCAATTTAAGGTTTTTTAAAATGGGAGATAATTAAAGCATTTGTTTAAGCTGAAAGGAATGATCCAATAGAAAGGGGTAACTCAAGAATTGGTGAGACAATATAATGGTTTCCACAATGCAGATGGAAAAGTTAGCTTTTGATAAGAGCAGTTCCATTGTAACTGGAAAGTAGGCCTAGAGTATGGACACAGATTCAGGTAGGTTGGTATTTGGTAAAAGGTATAAGGGAGAGCTGATCCTCTGATTGCTTGCGTTTCCTCGTTGAGTATATGAAGTGAAGTCATCAAAATTGAGGGTCAAATGAGGTGGTGTTAGTTTGAGGAGAGGAAGACATGAAATAGTCTTTTCAGATTGGAAAAGAGGAATTATTAGGAAAATATGGTAGAAGTTCTAGGCATTATTGAATGCCTATTTTTGTGTAATGTATTACCATAGAACACAAATTAATAGGTTTTACTTTTTTTTTTTAAGCATCCTGATATGTATGAGAGAGCAGTGCTAAGAAAAGATCATCAGAAGAAATATGGAGCAACAGTTGATCTTTGGAGCATTGGGGTAACTTTTTACCATGCAGCTACTGGATCACTACCATTTAGACCATTTGAAGGGCCACGTAGGAATAAGGAAGTGATGTAAGTCTTTTCTCCATCTAAAATTAGAAATCATTTTTTAAATGTATCTTTATCTTATTTTGTGTCATCACATGTTAGAGGTATACACTAATGAAAATTGATTCAACCATCATTTCTCTATTTTGAGCTATTTGGTTTTTAATAAGAATGCAGCCTTATAAAAGTAGATAGGATAGTTTTTCATATTGTGTTTAAATATCATATACAGAGTATAAGTGACATCCATTCTTTGGTACATCATTAATAATATACTGCTTTCTGGATTTTATTTCAGCACATTGTTTAGTTGTTTTTGTGTGTGTACTTATTAGGGTTTTTCCTTCATATAACTGAAAAAAATAGTAATTGTGGAGTACTCGAATCATTACCAGATCTAAAAGAAATACAGTTCCTACCCTAAACTGATCTGATTTCTTTTCCTATTTCAAAAATATTAATGTAACATTAAATTTTTTTATACTGTTGCAGTTTCAGTCCAACGACTGAATACATTTTACTAGTACATTATACATTTATGTACTGCCATAATTATTGGGAAATAATTACTGTGTATAAAATCACTATTGTAAACCAAATAATGGAAGAAAGAGATATAGATTTCTAGATGTGAAATCTATTATAAAATTCATTTATACATTGGCTACACATCTTTTTATTTTAAAAGAAACCATTCACACACAAAACTGAGCTTATGACTGCTGTTTAGTTTAGTGAATGATTTGGGACAGTAACTCACTGACAGCTTAATGAGCCAAACCATTCTTTAGATCTTAACACTTTCTCAGACTGTTATATATTTGATGCTGGCTTTTAGAACCAAACATGACCTCATAATTACAATTGTAAAAATATAATCTTTTATTTAATCTCATCTGAAAAATTGAGGGAGAAGCATATTTTTTCTTTTGGTGATTTGAGGAAGTAAAACCAATTCAGCTGATACAGTGACTTTTGCTAAAATCTGGGTATCTAAATGTTTTCTAGCAAAGACAACATGCATATTCATAGGAAAAAGACATCCATTACTATCCTGATGACTTTGCTATAGCATCATCTTGAGCCTGCATTTCAGCAGTGCCCTTTTTAAATAAAATTTCTTCATTAATGAAGGCTGAGAGTCAATTTGTGTTTTTATCATCAAACATAAATTGTGCCTAACAGTTAATCATGCTTTTATTGTCATAGATATGTTTTAAACAAATATCAGCATTTCTTGCTGCCCTAAAAATGGATTAAATAAAAATGTGGCACTCCCTAATAAAGGAAACATATAACTCATAAGCAACTAGGAATACCTGATGATTTTGTCTGACTACCATGTGGCAGATACACAGTTAGAAGAATTTATTTCTTTATTTGCACAGTAACTCAACTTTTTATGAACACTGATGCTAATAAATGTTCAGAGGTACTCGAAGTAGTAATAATGACTTTACTAATGAATGATGCATTTATGTCACATTATAGCAGTATTGATCCCTTTGTATCTCATTTACATGTTATAAATGTTTTTATATATGGGGCTTACCAAAATTCATTAAACTTTTTCAAGAATTTATAAGCATTCCCTTAAGAATTCTACCATTCATTGTATTTCCTTTCCTTTTCCTGTATTAATCTCTCATATCTCTACTTATTTCTCCACAATCAGATCCTTCTCGTGTGAATGCAGCTTATTTTTCACATTAATTTCCTTCTTTCCTAAAAAATCCCTTAAAGCAGAAAGCCTGACTGCCTCTGCTGAGGAAGCAGCAAGCAGTCCAAATCAGTCATACTGGTTTTTATTGACTTTAGAGAGAGAGAAAGGGAGAGGAAGAGAAACATCAGTGTGAGAGAGAAGCATTTATCTGTTGCCTCCTGTATGCACCCCAACTGGGGATCAAACCCACAACCCAAGCATGTTCCATGACTAGAAATCAAACCTCGCAACCTTTCAGTGCACGGGATGATGCTCAACCAACTGAGCCACACCGGCCAGGCTTGGTTCTACTTTTTTAAAGAATATATTGATTTGCTCAGAGCACATCTATGTAGACATTAAATAAAAAGAAAATTATGCCAGAAATAATGTCTATAAACTTGTATAAGATTCTGCTGTATTATATTTTACATTTTGATGTGGATAAAGTATTCCTGAAGGCATGAAGCTCTTATTTCTCTTCTACTTCCAGGTTTTGTTTAGGAAAGTATTGAAACCTAAAAGGTTTTTGTTGACTTGCTGCATTATTATAGTATCCTTTTGCCTCCCCATCCAGTTCTCTCTTCAGTTCATCTTTATTTTTATCACCTTCATCAAGAATCAAATTAAATTTGACTTTTAATTTTGCTACACACACTTATTCCTGTGTATATATTTTTCAATATGTAAAGAATCTTTCAAATACTGTACTATGTATAGTTTTACCTACTTTTTTTACAAGAATACTATTGTTAGTTCAGCAGTAATTTCATAGTCCAGTTGACTGTGCCTTTGGCTAATATGGGTAACTGGGATTTAGATGGTTTTTTCATGGTCTAGAGATATTCTATAACATAACGTTTTTTGTGTTTGCTCGATTTTTTCAGATGGAAAAATTAATATTTTTGTTGTGAACATCAAGATGTTGTTATATGGCACTCTGAGATCCCACATGAAAATTAATTATGGCATATATAAAATAATCGTACAACCACTATTCTACTTCAGTCAGTCAGATTCAAAGTATTTTGATTGTTTTATGGATCCTGTGAACATCAGTCACAAAGTTTCAACTAGTAGATGATTGTAGGTGCACCTGAGGAAATACTTTTGCAAAGCCCATTGATAGGCTATGCAATTAAGAACTGCTTTATTCTGCTTTTATTCTCCCCAAGGTATAAAATAATTACTGGAAAGCCTTCTGGTGCAATATCTGGAGTACAAAAAGCAGAAAATGGACCAATTGACTGGAGTGGAGACATGCCTGTTTCTTGTAGTCTTTCCCGGTGAGTATAGTGTACCCAGTTCTCCTCTTTTGCAATTTGGTGTTTGGAACTTAGTTGACTAAAATCACAAATACTTGAGTGTAGTTTATCGTCATTGTTATTTGTTTTATTAGATGTTATTAAAGCATATGCTTTGATTTGTGATTTTTATCTTTGTTGTGATGTAAAAATTAATTATAAATATAATGTATAAATAATTGTGCCAGACCTCTATGAGGTCATAGGGCATGCATTTTTGAGATTTCTTGAAATTCTGTCCAATGTAGGGATCCAGCTTAGGACCTTGGTATCTTTTGTACTACCATATTGGCAGACCACAAATAGTGGTATATATATAAGAGTGACTAGAGTTCTAAAAAACAAGCACTCAAGAAGTTTAATACATCCTCATTTTTAAAAAGTATTTGTGCCTGGCTGGGCGTGGCTCAGCTGTTAAGCGTCGACCTAGGATCCAGGCGATCAAGGTTTGATTCCCGGTCAGGGCACATGCCTGGGTTGCAGGCTCGATCAATGGCTCTCTCATCATTGATGTTTCTATCTCTCCCTCTCCTTTCCTCTCTTTGAAATCAATAAAGATATATTTAAAAATAAGTAAGTAAGTAAATAAATAAATAAATAAAATAAAATAAAAAGTATTTGTATTACTCAAAAGGTGAGAAATAATAGCTTTCTACTTCTTCCAGCATTTCAAATGTTCATATGGGTTTAATTTAGCAGCAGAACTAAAAAAGAAATTTTTCTCAGATTTGAATCCTGTTACCACAAAGAAAGATTTAAGGTAAAAGAAATTAAAAGTAGAGTGTAAATTATTTTAGATTTTACTCTGGAAATAAAACCAAGACACTCTTCAATATGTAGAATTTGTGATTAATGAATTAACTTCCATTTTTCCTGAGTGTGATAATTGTATAATCCACAAGTAAACACACACATACAGGTTATGATTTACTGACTTAACACCTATTATAATTTGTGGGTGTTTTTTATATGAGTTTTTTTCTTTCTAATCCTCACCCGAGGATAGTTTTTCCATTGCTTTTCAGAGAGAGTGGGCGGGGGGGAGAGAGAAACATCGATGTGAGAGAGACACATTGATTGATTGCCTTCCATACTTGCCCTGAGAGGGGATCCAGCCTGCAACCAAGGTATGTGCCCTTGACTAGACTCGAACCCAGGACCCTGAGGCTGGGAACAGAATGCAGCTGTTGTGCAGCCCCGGAGGTCCGCAGGCGTCAGCTGTTGTTCTTGGTCATCTGGTGATGTCTCAGTAAGATGATATCTTGACTCCTGGTTGAGCCAACCTGTCCATATCTGTTCAAGGATGCACTGTCAGCAGCTGTGTCACCTCCTTAATTGCTTTGCCCAAAGTCAAGGGGAATATACGGGTGTAAAGGCCTAGGAAGAAGAAACTTAAGGAAAAAGATACTTAAATCCCTGCTCACATAAGTATATGTGTTCTATAATTTTAGAAGTAATATAATTATATTTCAGATTCATTCAGGTGCTCAATCCTTGGACATTATAAGTGCCCCTATCAATATGACTTTTAATATGTATATATATATATATATATATAGCTGATAAATATTACCTACCATTTTATGTATTGATTTCTGTGAAAACTCATTTAAACCAAGAGTTTCACTGCCAAAATAATTTTTGAAAACCACTGTTTGACAGTTTTATTTTTGCATTGTTTTTAAGTTTCCAAAATAAAATTATGTCATGCAGCTAGAATTACCAAGAGAAATTCATTTTATTGGAAAGCAGAAATTTAATATTATGATAATGATTTGTGTTAAATTTTGATTTAGAAAATACTCATTTTGGGAATCTCAGGCAAAACATAAAATTTAAAGGGGTCAGGAAATGAATACTTTCTGTGTAATAATTTTGTTGCTGAAACTCAATAATTTCACAATCTGCACTTACAGATTGCATATTTCAGAAGGGTAACAGGCATATCTATCAAATCAGTCTTTAGCACACCAAGTTATACATTCTTTGATAAAAATTGCTTAGGTACCAGAAAGCATATGATCTTTTTTTTTTTTTAAATAGTGAGGATAAGTATTACTAATTAGCAATGAAAACAACTACCAAAAATATAATGACTGCAAAAATAGATAACCATCCTCTTTCTTATATGTATTCGTCAACACTGGATAGCAAGTGAGAAAACCTAACTTAACTGGTTTAAGTGAAAAAGAAAATGGATTGACTTTGTAATTTAAAAAGTTCACATGTGTATGGGACTTAAAGCCCAGCTAAATCCTTGGACTCAGCCTGTGTCAAGACTTGGTCTCTTCATATCGCTCAGATCTGCTTTTGTATGCTTTCTCTTTCCTCTCAGTAGGCTCTTTCCTGACAGCCACAGGAAGTGCTTTTCGCATTCCAGACTCACATTCTCTCAGCTTTGAAAATTCAGTGGGGAAAAAGATTTTCTTTCCTGGTAGTTTTAGCAAAGATTTCTGGGTTGATTCTCATTTAACTAACTTACATGGTACTACCTGACTACCTCCCACTAATCATAACCAAACCTGGCTCTTATACCCATCTGTGCACAGGGATTAGAGTTAAGAGAGTAGAGAGGTGTGGATTCTCTTATAAAAGGAGGGAGAATACATACCTGTTAGGCAAAAATTGAAAATGTCCACTACGTATTTTGAAAACTGTTCACAGACAAGGAATTACTTCAATGCCTGTTACGTAGTCAATAATATATTTTTAAGACTATTTGAAATTCCATCATTGAGGATTTGCTTGAGCATATTTTATAATTCAGTGAAAGCATGAGAAAGAATGAAGTCCTTCCATTCATTTTTAAAAATATATTTAAGTTCATTAGTCAAAAATTATTCCCAGTTGAATTGATTGCTAGATGATTGTAGTAATTTTACTGCTAAATAAGTGTCAATGTAAGAAACTTGTTTGAGCCAAACTGATAACATATGCTGGAGAGCAGGATCTCAAATGCTCCAGAGAATGGCAACTTTCCAGCTTATTTTATACACAAGAATCAAAGGAAAAGACCTCAGGAAGGTGCGTGAAATCCATTGGTGGTAGATTAAAGGAGGGGGAAGAAAGCAAAGCAGGGAAATCTCTAGGATTGGATAAAAGACAAAATGGAGAAACACTTCCTTTACATTGGTGGATACAGGATACTTAATAATTAACATTTACAGCATATAGAGATGATATGTCAGGAACAAGATAACAATGAGGCGTTCTTTGCTCTGGTGCCCGAGGTAGTGGCTTCAAAGGTGTAGGAAAAGAAAATTACTCTGACATTTCAAAGGTATGTTATCCTACATGCATAAGAACAGTAGACAGAGCTCACTTAAGGTAAAGGTTTACCTTTGCTAAGGAAGCTATAGGCCTGGAATATGACTACCTACTGTAACTTACCCAGTTAGGAATTTGTGATCAGACCATCCTGTGTGGTTGTTTTTGGTCCCTGAGCCTGCCAGGCCTGCCATGTGCCACCACCACCACCACCCCGAGCTTGAGAGGTTTAATGCATTAGCCCCTTTTTCATTCACAGATGTATACTTTGAAAGGTATATAAATTCAGCATAAAAAAATATATATTGCCGTGCCATATTAAAAGAACATTTTAAAAAAGGACATTAAAGACCCTGAAATTAAACTATTAGCCTCATGACCACCTGGTTTGAATTGATTGATCTTACCTGATGGTTTGTATATACAATATTAGAATGTGTTTGGAAAAGTGAGGAAACTTGGGAATGAGAGAATCAAAGAAAATAAGCGTAAAAGATAGGTTAACATAAAAATACCATAATATCTGATTTATTGACAAATAATATTAAACCAAGGTTACCTGGCTTTCTGAAAAGTTGGCAGATTTTTTTAAAACTTTAATAATAATAATAATAGTTCCTTTGATGTGTTAGTAAATATTATGATTTTGTACCTAGATAAAATCTAGCACATTCACTCTTCAACTTTTTTTAATGCTATTTTAGGGGTCTTCAAGTTCTACTTACCCCTGTTCTTGCAAACATCCTTGAGGCTGATCAGGAAAAGTGTTGGGGTTTTGACCAGTTTTTTGCAGAAACTAGCGATATACTTCACCGAACGATAATTCATGTTTTTTCGCTACAACAGATGACAGCTCATAAGATTTATATTCATAGTTATAATACGTAAGTACCTCTTTATAGTTTCTTCCTATATAATAATGTTGTGTTATATAATTATCTTCACAAATTAGGAGAGGAATAGAAAAAATACCTCAGCTTCACTAGGGCACCACTTCTCACTTAGAGAATAACATTTAAGTGCTTAGTAAATTCTTTCTTATCTTTGGAATAAAAGAATTCATTTTCTAATTTTCTAAGATTTACAGATAAATTAGCTTGGTCTTAAACTGCAAGTTTTACAAGATTATTTTGTTTCTTTGCCTTCTCTCAAATTACATAATCCCATAACCATAAATAGCATCTACTAATAAATAGGCCACGTTTCATTAAAAGTACTGTCCTGTCATATAAGAAATATGAAAGCATATGTCTTAAATATAGTTAGTGTAGTCATTGTCTGCATATGTGGCAAAAAATCCTTTTTGGATGCTGGAGAAATACCGTTTGTTTTACCTAAACAAAAACACATCCATGTCATAAAAAACCTACCTATGTGATAAAACTGCATATAAGTAAATACACATACACTTACATGTAACACTGGGGAAATCTGAGTAAGATAGGTGGATCAGTATCAACGGTATCAACATTCTGGTTGTGATATTATACTATATTTTATGCAAGATATTACCATTGGGGGAATATAGCATCTCTCTGTATTATTTCTTTCAACTGCATAAAATCACCAATGATCTCAAAATAATTTTAAGTGAAGGGAAGAAAACATTACACCCGTTCTATTATATGCCTTAGATTTTGTCCTGACAGGACTCAAATAGCTGTTTTGACATCTCATAAAACTTAAAAAGAGACTTCTACTGGTAATTTAAAGAATAACTTTAATTAGATAAAATATTTTAGGTACTAATATCTATGTCTAATATATAAACATTAAATATAATAAAATAATATTAATATAACATTAGATTAAAATATAATATGCATCTTTATTTTGGTACTTAATAATCTGAATAAATAGGTATTGGCCACTATTTCATTTTAAAAATCTATTTGAACAGAAAATGCTTAACCAAGCCTGAGCCAAATCTTAGCAGAGGCTTGTGGGGGAGACAAATCACAACATTGCTGCTGAAACGTTTCTTTGATTTCATAGATCTATTTAGGGAGAATCTACCTTTTCCCCCCCAAGCATAATTTTGAAAATACCTGATTTTATCAATTGATTTAACAAACATTATATAGTCGGGTTGTAAGTACTATTCTCAGTTCTTTACATATTTAAGTCATTTAGTCCTCACAACAAATCTGTGAGGTGTGGGTCCTATTACTCCCATTTTACACCTTAGGAAACTTAGCGCAGAGGAGTTAAGTAACTAAAAGTAATTCCTCAAATAAATGGAAGAACTGGAATTCAAACTCAGCCTGATTTCAGAGTTGGTGCTCGTTAGCTCTCTGCTATGTTGGCTCCCCATTATTAAATATTAAGAACCCTGTATATTGCATATATCCAGTATAGGTATGCAAACAGAAATATTTTAGAATTGATTGCTGTATAGACAGTTTAGGTGGAATTTTCAGTTTAACAGATTTTGTAGTATCTACATAAACAAAGCAGGGTCTCTGTGGACTGGTCTTGATCTGAAGTACCACTTAGAAATGGATATCGTGCTCAGTCATTAAAAAAAAAGTCTTCACCTCTCTTCTTATCCTGATATGTTGTCTTTTTGGATTTTTCTAACACAGTGCTACTGTATTTCATGAACTGGTGTATAAACAAACCAAAATTATTTCTGCAAATCAGGAACTTATATATGAAGGACGACGCTTAGTTCTAGAACCTGGAAGACTAGTACAGCATTTCCCTAAAACTACTGAGGAAAATCCTATCTTTGTACTGAGCCGGGAACCTCTGAGTACCATAGGATTGATATATGAAAAAAGTAAGCTGGAATTTTCCTTGTTCTTACTAGCCATTAAAAAACAAAACCAAAAAAAACCTGTAAAAATGATATTATCTTCATAAAGTTGATTGATGATGACATTAATGTAGACCTTTCATAAACATTAAAATTTTGTAAATTAGTTGAACAAAACTAGTGAAATTTAAAAGCTGTGTAGGTAAAACAATTTGACATTAAATATTTTGTTTCATCAAGTGGTAAAATAGTTTGTCATATATGTTTCACTGTAGCTGTCTGCTTTCATTATTTTACTCATATTCCAAATGATCTTTTGTATCATAAATTTCAGCAAATACTTATTGAGGCAAGGTGAGTAGGACACTTTGCCAGGCTTTGGAGTCTAAGAAAAATTAGATCTGAATTTTGGAGTCTTTTAAATTATTAACTTTAGGAAAAAGTAAGCTACCCCGATTTTTACATTTCTGTTTGGATTTTGGGATTTGATTTCAGTTTAAATAGAAGCATTGAGCTGGTTGTGTTGGAATATATTTAAGAAAAAATGAAATTTCTTAGAAATTTGTAGGTAATTTGTTATGGGATGAGCATTATTGTTTCAAGTGTTTGTTGTTGTCGTTTTAAATATGTTTTTATTGATTTTTTTTATCGGGAGAGAGGAAGGGCGAGGGAGAGAGAGAGAAACATTGGTCGACTGCCTCCTGCACACCCCTACCAGGGGATCGAGCTGAAACCCGGGCATGTGCCCTGACTGGGAGTCAAACCTGTGACCTCTTGGTGCATGGGACGACGCTCCAACCAACCGAGCCGCCTGACCAGGGCTGTTTTTTAACCAGGAAAAAAACATTACAGAGTTTTGTCACTGTTTAATTTAATTTAAAGGTTAATGTTGAAATTAGAGGTTACTATATAAAGGATACAATAATTTATTTAAAATTTTCTATTTCTGATTTTAACTATTTTTCTTAATATTACAGTTTCCCTCCCTAAAGTACATCCACGTTATGATTTAGATGGAGATGCTAGCATGGCTAAGGTTAGTATTTAATTAAATTACTATGTAAACATCTGAGTTCAAATTATCAGTAGTGGAAGCAATAAAATATATCTTTATATGTGCCTATTTGATTTAGAAAATTATTCACTTGTTATCCATTGCAAATTATTTTGTGTTCTTTCTTTTTGACTTTATATCCTTTTTTGAATTTATAAGAAACTTTCTCCATGGAGGCAGTGCGTGTCTAACATGGTCATGTTAAGGATGAAATGTTTATTGCAGTTATATCTGTCCTTAGCTTTTAGAAATTGGTAGTTGTGTTTTTAATTAACCTGATAAAAATACATGTTTGAAAAGTGTTTATATCCAAGTTTTTCTTACTCTGTACTATAATTAGCTCCAAATAGTGACATTTTGCATTTCTTCATTAGGCAATAACGGGAATTGTGTGTTATGCCTGTAGAATTGCCAGTACCTTGCTACTTTATCAGGAATTAATGCGAAAGGGAATACGATGGTTGATGTAAGTAATAAGTTGAAATTTAAAAATTGATCTTCACATAGATCTCATTAAATAACTGGTAACCAGCCCATCATCTCGTCAGACTAGGTAGGGTCAGGTGCTTGATTTTTATTATAATACTTTGTTTCACATTTAGTTTATAAAACATTTAGCAGCTATTTTTTTTATTTGATTTTTACAGTAACAGTGTGAAATAGGATAATAATATCTGAATTTGAAAACTTATACCACACTGTACGATGTCATGGCAAATGAATTCCTTTTCCTAGAACCTTAACTTGGCTGTCATTTCACTATCTTGGAAGACTTAGTCTTTGTTGTAAATCCAGTACAACCTGTACTTCTTTCCAGGGTTTATGTCCTCAAAATCTACCTCCATTTCCTGCCTTTTTCCTAAATAAAGTATACACTCAACATTTTTAAAAAACAGCATTATTGAGATATAATTCACATACTATAAAATTTACCCATTTTTTTTAAATGTGCAATTCAATGATTTTTAGTACATTCACAGAGTTGTGCCGTCATCACCACTAATTTTAGAATATTTTTATCAACCCAAAAAGAAACCCTGCACCCATTCACTCCCCATTTTTGCTATAACCTCCTATCCCTAGGCGACCACTAATATACTTTCTGTTGCTATAGATTTGCCTATTCTAGACATTTTATATAAATGAAAGCATACACTGTGAGCACACACTCACCCTGACAAGCAATTTAAAAGCAATTTTTTTTACTAAGTCATTTAATATAGTTATTCTAGGTCAGAATATTGATCATCTAGTTCAGCATGCTCTCCCTAAAATTGACCCTAAGAAATGTTTTGAAAATAGGATTTGACCTTTTTTTTAACTTTTCATGATTTGTAGGTGTCTCCTTTGCTTCTGATAGAAATGGAGAATAAATGGTCTCTATTAAGAGTTATAATGAGTTTTATACAACATTATTTGAAGCTTCTGAATTTTGTACACCCACAGTAATGGCCTCATGTTCTCTGGGCTCATAGTGCTCTTCAGCTTTAATGCTTGTGACAGCTTCTGTGTGCCTACTTCACACCTAGCCTTCCCTTCTTGCAAAAGCATGTCATTCCTGTTCTGCTGCTGCTTCTAAGGAGGAAAAGGAATTGGGCTCTTTTTCCCCATCTCACCTTTATGTTAAAGCCATAAATGAATGCTTGTAATATATTTTTATATGTTCACATATCTAGTTAATAAGCCTATGCTTTTCTCTTTCCATTAAGAAGCTTCTTTACTTTTACTAAATAGTTTCTGGAGAAATCTAAGTGTTGACTCCATTTATTTTTACAGTACTGTTACTAACAGCTCTTGTTTTCTCTAGCTGTTGTTACCCACCCCAATCACTGCTCCACGAAGCTTTCGAGCTTTTCGTTTATTAAGTAGTTTTTAATATAGACCAGTATTGGTAAATTTCTTTTTCACTTAGTAAATGTTTTACACTTTTTGGGCCACATAAGGCCTCTTTGTTTTTATTTTGTTTTTACAACCTTTAAAGATGTAAATACCATTCTTAGCAAAAACAAGCATCAGGTCTTAGTTTGTTGACCCTTACATAAACCAAAAGCACTTCAAATATATTATTTACTATACCATGCTGCTTCTTCAGAGATGGTATTGATTTAAAGTAGAAATTGCGCAGCAGTCTACCATAAGTAGTGAAAATTCTGGCAGTATAAAATGTAATGCTATTCAGCTTGTTTCCGTTATTGTAGATTAGTTTTTATTTTTATTTTTTATTTTAAATGTATTAATGCTTCAGATTTCTGCATTGTTAATCTAATATGTAGTAATGGTTTATGCCCTAGTTGTGTATTAAGACTCAAAGAGATGTTTTTAATAATACTCAGAGATGTTTTTAATAATAAAAAGTGGATTGGCTTTCATAATATATCAAGACTGTTAAGAAATTTGAACAGAAGGATAACAGTGTAATTAGCAGTAGACAAGAGAAAACAAATAATTCCTTAGATATACTAACGAGAATGTTATTTTTTTTTTTAGAGAATTAGTTAAAGATGATTATAATGAAACTGTTCACAAAAAGACAGAAGTTGTGATCACATTGGAATTCTGCCTCAGAAACATTCAAAAAACTGTGAAAGTGTGAGTAGGTGACTTCCTTAACTAATAGTTGTTAAAATGTTAAATATTTTTACATTTCTGTTTAGTTTGTTTAGTTATCCTTGACACATATACCATGCTATGCAAGTGTTTGTATTAAGGCACCACCTTAGTTTAAGTTACTTCCTCACAAAGGCAGAAAAACATCCATTTTTCTCAGTAAAAAATGAACACCATCTCTTTTGTAGCATTTCTCCTTCCCTTTGCAAAGGAAAAGGTAGTCTGAGCTTGAAACATCTCATTTTATACCTTGCAATGCAGATACTATGAATAGGAAAATAAAAAAACCTGTAATCAACAAAGGAAGTAGGAAGAGGTATTCTAGAACTGTAGTTTGGTAATATTTTTAGAATTTGGGGATTACTTCTTGTTTGTTTATTAACCCTGAGAATGTCTTTTGAAATAGAATATTTTAAACTGCTCTCTTCCTAGGCTATACTATTTGTACTGCATGGGAAATGTAATTAATGAAATTAGGATTTACTATTGACCACAATTAATTCTGAAATCTAGTATTTTGACTATTATCCTGGCATAAGATTATTTGAAATTAAGTTGTCTTTTATATTTTATCTCTTAAGCTGCAAATTTATAAGTAGAAATACATAAAATTTCTTCTTTACAAAGACATCAAGTTTTTTTGGAATCTTTCACTTTATAGACTTTGCATTCAGTATTTTATTCTTAAATGATTATGATAATAAAAACTCAGAACATCTTTTTAAATCTATGTATTCATTATACTCATTTAATTTTTCTGTTCTTGTTTTTCACACAGATATGAAAAGTTGATGAAAACCAATCTAGAAGCAGCAGACTTAGATGAAATTTCGGACATACATACCAAATTGGTGAGAGTAAGTATTTACAAAATAATGACAATCATAGGCTCATAATCTGTTTCTTTGCTGGCGGGAGTAGATCTAAACTTTCCCAGAGAAATGATGTACCTAAAGATCTCCAAAGAAAAGGTAACCTTTTCCTATTTTAGGAACTATTTACAATATTTAGATACCCTTACTGCCATGCAATTCTTACAATGTTACCAAATGCCTGCTTTGCTTTAAGCCCATTTCTCTCTCCCTTTCTCCCTGTTTCTCTTTAAAATCCATAATGCTCTTGTGTTGCTGCTATGGCAGTTAAAGCCATAAATGTAATTTAACTAGCAGAGTGCTTAAACTTGCTTAGAATTAGATGCAAGTTGGGAAAATATCAGATCTTTCCTAAAATAAAAAGTAAGGAAAGAAAGATTTGGGTTCCTAAAGGCAGTGAGTCATTTCTATACCTAAAAAAGAAATTAGGACAAAAGTCTCTATTCTGCTGAAAAATATAGTAGCATTTCAGGTAGTTTCTGAATCTCTTACTAAAATGTATTGTAAAAGAGCAGGGAATTATGTGTTGTGAGAGCTAATTACTAATTGCAGGTCTGCCCCTGTTTACCTAGCTATTCCTGCCTACTGACTTAAGGAAGGCCTTTAATTCTTTGTATCCTTGTTTTCTTTCTTTACAATGTGCGGTTTCTTACCCTGTTTCAGCATTTGAAATATTCTTTCATGAAGTGGATGCTAAAATTGAAAAAAAAGTCACCCAGTGTCTCTTTCCCTTTTCTCTTTTCCAGCTTAGACTGATTTTTAGTTGTTTTCCTTCGGTTTTACATCTAGAACAGTGGTTTTCAAAATATGAGTCATGAATAGCTAGTAGGCTGTAAAAGTTTAGTGCAACGCAGTCAGCAGTATTTTTAAATGAAATGGAATAGAAAATGTCAGAATACATCACACATAATAAGGAAATCACTGTTCCATGAAACTTTCAGTTCCATTATATATACACATTTAAGGGATACTGGGTTAAACCAAAGTGAATGTCATAGTCAAAAAAGTTTTTTCAAATGTTGATATAGCATAAAGCAAAGTCAAAGAAATAGATGGTCTTCCCCAATATTTGTTTGTGTTTAAATATTGGCAGTTACATCATTGTGTTTTCTATTCCTCTTCTGCTTTTGTCTTAGAACTTTTATGGACACTTATTTCTAGTGCAAGCATCATTTGAGCACTTTGAATTGATATTGTATGTTTTCTTTAGGGAGCCTGAAGTGTTTCTCATTTTTGTGACATTTTTGTGAAGATTTAGGTTTCCTACGAGAATTAAAGCATAGATGATTAAATAGCTTAAGGTCACTGAGTCTTATGAAATTAGGGCTTTCACAGGCCAATTACTTTTTACTAGATTGCATTGTTTTTTCTCACACCCTGTTTATTTGTTGTGGTTCCTTTCCTAATGGAGACCTTAAAATTTTTTCCTACCGTAAAAAAAATGTTTTAAATAAAATGTATATGTAGAAATGATACCATACATTCTTCCCACCCAAAAAATAATAATCATTTTTTTTTAATTTATCTTTATTACAGGTGTCCCATTCCCCCCCCCAATTGACCTCCTCCACCTCGCTCCCACCCCCTCTCCAGGCCTTCACCCCATTATTGACTATGGCCGTGGGTTATTCATATAACTTCTTTGGGTAATCTCTTCCCACTCTTCACCCCCCCTTCCCTCTTTCTTCTGAAATATGATTGTCTGTTGCATGCGTCAGTGTCTCTGGATCTATTTATTTCATCAGATTCTTTTGTTTATTAGCTTCTTCTTAAAGAAGACTCTTCAACANTCAATGTCTCTGGATCTATTTAGTTCATCAGATTCTTTTGTTTATTAGCTTCTTCTTAAAGAAGACTCTTCAACATTTCCTGTAGTTCGGGTCTGGTAGTGATGAACTCCTTTAGCTTTTTCTTATCTGTGAAGTTCTTTATCTGACCTTCAGTTCTAAATGATAGCNTGACCTTCAATTCTAAATGATAGCTTTGCTGGGTAGAGCAATCTTGGTTGTAGTTCCATGTTTTTCATCACTTTGAATATTTCTTGCCACTCCCTTCTGGCCTGCAAAGTTTCTGTTGAGAAATCAGCTGACAGTCGTATGGGTGCTCCCTTGTAGGTAACTAACTGCTTTTCTCTTGCTGCTTTTAAGATTCTCTCTTTGTCTTTAAC